AAAGAAAAGTAGTGCACATCGACTACCCTGGAAGCCCTATAAAACGGAGCACGCACTGGTAAGAGGTGGCGGAGCTACCCCCGTAGAGAAGAGGGAGGAGCGCAGCAGACCACGCGCCGAAGGAAGGCGATGACGACGGGGGAGGGAAATTCCTGGGAGATATTATTTCAGGAACCGGCCAATAGCAGGAAGAGGATAGTAACAGAACAGCACCTACGAAGCAGATTCTTGGTTCTAAGGGCGGGGACAAGAGCCCCGTGAAAACCCACACAGAGGATGGATGTGTTAGGGAAGGAGCCATCATTTTATTTGTTCTTGTTTTGTTTAGTTACTGTCGACAGGGACGCTCAAGTCGACTCATCATTTTAGGGATTTTTATTACAGGACATATTTACAGGACATATGTATATCCTTTGTAAGATTTAATTATAGGTAGAGATATGTATTATTAAGACAGAAGTTTCATGTCGCGTATACGCTTGCAGGTGAAAGACGAAGGCGTATCCGAGGGGCGGAATCACTATAAGTAGTTGGTGGCGGAGTTGTGGCAGATCTATTGGGGGCGTGTATCACGTACAGGAGTAATAGACTAGATCCGGACCAACTAGACTGAACTCACCGTATAGAGTAGAATAAACGATTATATTGACTAAAGAAAGGATGAGGAGATAGATTACACATAAAGAGATGTCAACACGCACAACCTTGGGGGCGCAGCCATATTGGATCATACTGCTGCTGCCGCCTGTCGGGGCGAAACACGAGGAATATTCCCTTAGGAATGGGTTACGCGGCGATGACGCAATAAATCGTACCAGCCACGGGCGCACACACACCCGGTAGTCATGCACGCTACGGCCACGAGTAGCGAAGGGCGCAAACGCCCTAGCGGGGGGGGGGTGTGCCAGGGCAAGTATTAAAAAGCGGCCACAGAACCGCAGCTACGAAGTGTGTTTAGGTAAGGCCAGGAAGCGAAGGAAGAAGGAGAAGAAGCAGACGCAGAGACGAAGACAAGGAGCGGAGGGACAAGCCCGACAACGGGAGGAGAAAGCGAGAGAGTGCCGTTTTTCGGGATCAGGTTGTAGGTAGGAAAGCGAAGGAGGACAAGAGAGAGCGGATAAACGCACAGGTTTTTTAGGTGTAGGTGTAACCAGAGCCAAACGGAGAGAATAAAAACGTGCGGAAACGGCATTCTGGTAGAGCGGGAGCGACGGCGAGGGCAGACACCTGCCGAGACTGTGTGGATCCATCGGCAAGGGAGCGAGAGAACGGAGGAGAAGACGGAGCTGGCGTAGTGTAAGACTATTTAGAGAGATCAATAAAACTATTAAAAGTTCGCTGCATATACGAATGGCACGGGGAATCATTTGTACCGTTCGTAACAAGAATAAAGCTATACAAGCCGTATCGTTAAACTGCATTCAGTGTCTGTTCATCTGCCTGTAACCTGTTATCTGCTACGTGCTCATCGCCGTCCTGGCCTTAATACATCGAACAGGGCGGCTCTTGAAATCCACTACTGGTGGACACGCGTTACTACTAACGTCTTGTCGAACCGTAGTCGTCTAGCGCCTAGCGCGCACGGACAGTAGCTCCTGCAGCTCCACGCCGGACGCGACGGATCACCCCCTACGACTACGATTAGCCCAATGAGAAGAGAAGACGGGCACACTCGCGCGTCCACGCCTCGCCAGCGCCTCGATGACGCTGTTCAAGGTATTAACGATATTAACGATTGTCTGTAATGATGTATTGACAGTATTGCGGTATTAATTGTTTCGACGTCATCGTCATGTATCTGCGCGGCCTTTCTAATCATGACTCTTACCGCGGTTCGCAGAGCACATAAATCTGTGTGCTGTGATATAGAGAATGACGAAAGAAAAGAACAAACGATATGTACCGGCTATCATACCGTTCTCCTACGAGCCTGTCTGCACTGTCGGCATTATACCCCTGTGCACGCTTTCCCGGCCACGGACGAATCGCAGGGACAACTCCGCAACGCCCCGCTACCGATATGACGACACCGTTGGCACCATCCACTGCGTTTCACGCAACGTTGATGTCGCAACCCGTTAGTACGCCACAATTGCAGGCTTCTAACGTTTTGAACCCCGGGGAAAGTGTAGGATACCGCACGCTCCCTACACGCCTGCCATAAGCATAGCAACACATAAAAACAAACACAACCTCATCGCTCAAGTGATAAATAATAATAGAACGCGCATGAGGTAATCACTATACACCACGCCCTTTAGCATCCGAAGAAACTAATGACTCTGAGGGCCAGATCTGCGATGGTTATCTCAGGGTAGTAACGGACTCAGCTCATCATCTATCCGCAGCAGCGGTTCCAGGTTTTCCCTCCGCTCTGATCCTATTCCTTCTATACTCTTCGCTGGCCACACTTCCCCTCTACCTCCATCGCTTCACGCCCTGCCGAGCTACTTCGCGATCCACGGTCTCACGGTGACGCAGGTTACAGCTTCGGTTACGATTTGCTGTGTGGTATGTAGATATCTGTGTAGGTTTCGTAGATGTGTATTGTCGTCTGAATTATAGCCTGAAATCGACGCACGAAGAGTAGTTTCATAATACTTGGCTTTCTGTTATCTTATCGACGCAACAACCTGCAGCTATCTTAGAGGCGACTACCCTCGCACATGCCAAACCGCTAGAACCTGGATCAGGAAGATAGTGGCAGACCCATCCTTGACTGATACAGGTCCGGCCATCCTCGGTAAGCGGCAGTTGGATTAGATACTGACTTATAATGATAGAAAGGCAGCTCGGGGCGGACCGCGCACGGCATACGACAACAGCACGCCGCACGCACGCACGCACGCACACGACACAACAATTATAGTTATACCATAGCTATGTTAACGTGTGTTGGTGTAGAGGCGCAGTGCGATATTAGACAAGCAGCTCGGCGGACCGCGCCGCGACACACATAATACACACACAGCGCACGCACTGCACGCACGCACGCATACACATATGATAGTGTAACCACTAGCTTATGTTAACGTGTGTTTGGCTAGGTAGGCGCAGTCGCGATGCTAGACAAGCAGCTCGGGGCGGGACGCGCGACACACTATACACACACACGACGCACGCACGGATACACATATATAGTAGTAAGCCTAGCTATGTTAACGTTGTCGTTGGTTAGGAGCGAGTGCGATGATAGAAAGCAGCTCGGGGCGGACGCCGACACACATACACACAGGAGTGCACGCATGACGCACGCACGCACGCATACCATAGTATAGTGAACGCACTAGCTATGTTAACGTTGTTGTGTGCAGGAGCGCAGTGCGATTGATAGACATTCAGCTCCGGCGGGCGGACCGGACAAGCTGAGAAGATCCGTCTGTGCTGGCGAGGTAAGAACTCAGGCGACCGTCGCTACGCCTGCAGCGGCGATCGACGCACCCGAGGTTCCTACGCGCGCAGAGGTCAGCCAGTACCAGCGACGCTTCGTCGAGCTGTACAACCAGGGTAGGAGCTCTCTAGGGGCGTTGCCGCCCGTGCGGTCGGCGTGGTTTAGCACGACGACGCTCGCTAGAATTTACGCACAATTGCAAAGAGTTTACTAGCAGTTACTATTACGCTTACTACATTAACTACGCAACTGCGAAGAATTTACTAGCAGCTACTACTACGCTTACTGCATTTACTACACTTGCTAGAATTTACTTGCATAATAACACGTGCAGTGAGGACGATATCTCTCACTCTTACTCTCACTCTGCAGTGTTGCGTCGAATGGTGAATGCAACGGCTATACATGCGCGTCGTATTTTTTTACCCTTGCTTTACCCCGTAGTCCTTAAATTGAACGGTTTTTGATACGCGTAAAGACTTCGCTTAGTGCTCCGTATATCTGCTGTTCGTCTCGGTGCGTTTCCTACCTATATATGTTGTAAGCAGGTATAGTATAGGTAAAATCTGTCCCCTGTATTGCCAGGTTCATGCAGTAGGTTAATACGTATGCCCTTCTTGAAGTGTATTTGTAAGTGAAGTTGTACGTGATGTGTAGTGTAGTGTAGTGAAGAAGAAGTAAGTGAAGTGAAGTGAAGTGAAGTGAAGTGAAGTAAGTGAAGTTGTAAGTGAAGTGAAAGTGAAGTTGTAAGCTTGTACATTGTGCACGCCAGTGGCAAAACTGTGCCAACGCGACCAAGTCATCGGTTCATTTGGCTGCTAAAGAATTATAATTATCTTGATGATCATTGCAGTTGGATCAAAGCACACTGAGACCAAGCAGTTTTACACACTCGACAACACACTGGATGACACGAGGCTGTATCTTGACAAGGAAGCCAATCTGCTTAACTCCATTCACGACAACTTCGAACAGTAAGTATGTACGAAGGTCGTGATAGGAAAATGTTGTAATCCTGGCCACCTATCCGTGGGTTCTCTTGCATGCACGTGTTACAAAATTTGCTCTTACATTCTAGTAATGCTTTACGTGCTATAAGGTAGTTGTAAATACTAATGTTGAGTGTCGAATTATCAATTATGCCTCCAGTAACAAGAATTGCTGGCTCTGCATATATTTCTCTCTAGCAATAGTTTGTAATTATCACCCTTTGGAAAAATAAAATGTGTATCTTTTAGTCTACCAGAAACAATATTTGTCGATTACTGCGTATGAATGCAGCTTTTATAATCATTCATGATAACATCACATAAAGTCTCTTGTATCGTCTCAAGTTTTAAATGCTAAATACTAAAAGGCATTTCTGCATCAAATATCAGTTTTTCGAAACGAGCTAGTTAGTTTTGCATTCCATTTCATTTTACATAACCTCAGGACATCAAGGTAGAATTGAGAGAAATCAATGTGAAAATTGAGTAGTCAACTTCCTTATCATTGCTTGATTATTCCAGTATTTTCTTTGCTACGTTTACAAATGTAAACGTTGAGTATGTTGAGGTTTTTGGCTTTTCCATAACTGTCTGTGGTGTGTTTCAGGGCAATGGCTTCACCTTCAACAAGAGAGCAGTTCTTAAAGCAGTTTGAACAGATAGTCGAGGGAGTGAAGCAGAACAGAACAAAGGTAAACCGGCTTATTCTACCTCAGCGTAAAATCACTTTATCATACATTTGGATGCTTTGCTTCTTGCTCTACCTTCCTTCCTTTCTCCGCCTCTTTTTTTCTAAACGTGAAAATCAGACAAATAATAATGCCTTTATTTCGAGCTACTAGTTATCTTGGAACCAAAATGATACAAATTCATTTACACACTTGCTGGGTAGCATCCCCCCCCCAAACACACTCATGCAGAAACGATAGAGTGGATTAGGATGGTTTCTACCTAATAGCCAAAAACGTTTACAGATGTCCTGACATCATGTAAATAAAGATTGCAGGGATGTTTATACAGTCTTTTTGTGAATATGTACAGCTTCATTGCATAACAGCAGAAGTGAAATATCGTAGCTCAATCTATATCATGTCACTCTTGGTGATAGCTATACTGAATTCAATTGACCAATTATCAAAGGGTGTAAATATCACGATAAGAACTATGGCAATGTAACTTATAGTAAATACAAGCAATATTGCACCCATGTGCCCATACCTACTTTTATTTTCCACGGCTGGTTTTTCTAATAGGTTGAAAAGAAGAAGCAAGAAGCTAAGATGAAGCGGG